TTTGCTCCATTCATTATAAAATGCCTTTGTAATGCCTATAAAATCTTAAACTTAGTAGAAAGGTTTTGTTTCAATGTTCTTAATAAATTGCTATAAAGTGCCCCTCTCCACCAGTATAAACCAGAAAAAATTAAATATGTCATAAGGTAATATTAAGTTAATAATTCACAGACTATTTTCCTGAGAAAACCAGAAAACATTCAGATTCATGTACGTGATTGGGGTTTTCCACTCTAGGATGAGGCTCTGAGAGTTAACATCTGAAAGGGTAAAGAGTGTGCCTGATGAAACCAGCCACTCTGTAATCAGTTTCTGAGTTTCCCAAAGTCTCTTTTTCCCTCTCTGAACATCATGAGGTCCCTCTCCAAGTGCTGCTCACAAGGCAATTCTATGTCTTTCTCAAGTATAAAGAAAGCCTGGAATTTTGATGAGTTAAAGCACTCAGGTGGGGTATTCCCCAGCCTCTTAACTGGGGAGCATGCCCCTCTTTCACTCTTACAACACAGACCTTAAACATGACATAAATTTTTTTAAAATTCTAGGTCGATGGTTCCTTTTCTTCTCTAACAATGCTGAGTAGATTGACTCAGATAGCCAATTTTTGCTTTTATCATTTCAGTACTCAGACATTAAAATAATTGCGAACATGAATACATTTTAAGTCCCATTCTTGTTTGGAGGCTCAAAAAGAAAACATCCTTTATGAATGTAAATTTTATTTACTACTTTTAATATTTATCTCCATTGATCCTCTAAAGATTGATTTTGGAGTTTTAACTGTGCAACTTGGAATAGGGAATTTCTGAAAGACACTTTAGTATGTTAGGTAAATTAGTACATTGATATGGGGGAGCAAGATTCTTTCAGTATCTTAGGTATGACAATTTTTCCTTTTTTAATCTGAGATCCTCATGGCCTAAACCTTCCCAATACACACAGTGTAAACAGTGGACACTGTGAATCATGTTTCCCATCATTTTGGAGGCCAAGTTTTACATTTGATGTTGCTGAGTGTTCCTTTTCTCAATTATCTTTTATCTTGTTTCAATTATCTTGTTTATACCTCTTGGAGACCGCCAAATTATCTCTGAGAGAGTTTTGGCTGATGAGCTATATGCTAATTTTCTAACATTTAAATTGTAGAAGTATAACAGGATCAAAAAATAAAAATCTGAGTTCATGTTTTTCTCTAAATCATTAGAAATGATGTTTTAAAAGATTTCTATTTGCTTTAATACTTAGAAGCTCTGAATATATATTTTAGGGAAATAGAATTCCAAAGAGTAAAGAATCACCCAACCTACATTTAGTAGGTATCTGAAATTAAATATTGGGGCTATTTCCATTAAACACAAAATAAAGACCAAAGGTTTATTTATAGATACAGGGTCTGGATCACTAAGTTTTATTAATTCCTGGGTTTTAGACTTTTGACTTCTCATGTATCTAGCACTATTAAGTTTGGATAATAACGAATTCAGTATAAAGGGGCAAAGATTTCATCATTGTGGTCATACTCAAATTTAATACCAGGAATCTGTTTCTGTAAGAAATAAACTAAACCTTAGAGGAAAGTAATAACATGATTTTAGAAACACCTCCACTACAAACACCTCCAGCAGGTAAACCTGCTCTAATATCATTGTTTGATCTCTCTGCTAAACAGAGATCTCAGGTTTATTCTGCCTATATGAACCATCCCATATACTACATTAAAGGTCTATTGAGGATTACATGTGAAATTCCTAAATTATTCTCTACGAACTTGATGGATGCTTGGATATGTAATAAAATATTTTCATTTATGTATCTGGTTTCAGAGTAACTATTGTTCCACTGGGTTGTAGGA